TGTGTGTGTGTGTGTGTGTGTCTGTGGATTGCAGCTGTTCTCTGGGATCCTCCCTCTGTCGAAGCGCAGCCCTATTCCAAGCAAATGCTTGCTCACGTGATCGTCAACGTGGATTGGGCATCTCAGTCCTGGCTTCCTATCCCCCGTGTCACCATGTGGAGAGAGAGAGGGGAGGTAGACACATATCACATGGAGTCTCTAGGAGTGTTATTGCTTGGAACACAACCACTGACTGGTGACCGCAGACTATGGAGCAGGCCCCAGTGGTGTTTCGTTTACGGTTACAGCTGGCGAGGTTCATGTTAATGGAGAACAGAGATAGCACAGTGAGCCGTACCAAATTCAAGACATACTGATCAAAAAAATTGAAAAAACAATAAATATATAGTATTATATACACCATGCTGCCTTCTCCTCATCGGGGGACAGCCATATATTTTTCTCTCACCTCAGCCATGTCATCGACCACATCTTTCTTTCACTACCTACCTACCACTGATTGAGCGCTTTGAATTGAGTGTATATCAATACACTCTAAAACTTCACTAACAAGACCCTGTTTTGCCGATGACGTATGCATATATAAAGATTTCAATGAATGTCCTCAACAGCAGGGAGCATGTAGAGCCTATTTCGGCTTTGGCTCTAATTTCAGTGCTCCTTCCCGCCGCACTTGCCAACCAACTGCTGCCTTCCTCCAGCCTTCTGGCTTGGCAACTGCGACCTGGATGGACGTCGTGTGAATGATCAATCAAATCTGTGTTCTCCATAGGACCAATGATCAATCAAATCTGTGTTCTCCATAGGACCCTTTGCGATGTCTGGCATCAATCACTACTATGGCCCCTCCGTCCCCCCCAGTGTTTGCACTTTCGGGCGATCCCAAATTCCAACCAATTGCGAACTTGGGATCCTTAGGTGTCCCACAGGTTGCATGTGCCCCGTGATCACCAAATGAAATTAAATAAATAGGGGTATCCAAGTGTCAGATTGTGAATTTGAAAACACGGGTTCAACTCCCATTATTCACCTCTTGCAGCTGAACTCTGGCGAGCCTAAATCCAGTCAAAGCTGGCGTCAAGACAGTTATTCATTGACTGAAGTCGATGAATCTAAGTTAATTGATTCAAACAACCACATAAAGAGTGAGTTGGGTACAACATATAAACAAAAAATTGCTGAGATATAGAGGCTTTTTCTAAAGTAGTACTTTTTTATATATCCATGTGATTAACCAAAGTATGAAAAAGGACCGTCCAGGTCTTTCCTAGGTGGTACTCAACCACCGGGACAGTACCAACTCTGTCCCATGTCTTATGGAACTCCGCCAATCACTGGTTTCTGGCCCATGTCTTATGGAACCATTGCAGGCCCAAAAACTTGTTCCTTTCCCATATGTTGGCCCTGGGCAGAAAAAGAAAAAAAAAAACAGAAACAGAAAACGTGCCGCGGTCAATTTATCAACGGTGGCCCAATCCCGCTTGGCTTCCGCGTTACCCAGCGCGGATTTGATTTCCAAGCGGGGAAAGGTACTGGTGGTTTAATGGCCACAGCAATGTTATGCTTCACCTTAGATTTCAGGACCTGGTTTGAAAGATATTTGTTCTTGAACAGCACACTGTTTCTTTCCTCCCAGATTACCCAAAATATGATGGCCCTGATCACAAAAGCGACATAACCCGTCTTTCGTTCCCTGCAATAAGTCAGAATGGCTTACAGGTAAGTCAGAATATAAAAGTCGTGGCCTTTTATATTTCATGTGACCAGCGATCATATTTCCTGTAAGCCACAGGTAAGTCAGAATATGATGGCTGGTCAGCAGCT